CTTTAATATACAGAATATCACACGGATTTCTTGATTACAGCCAAAAAAAGAATTGTGGTCATAAAGTCAAATGTATTATTAATGCAACTGTATGTGATCGGAGAATTAATTTGACCAATGCTGCTTATTTGCTTTTGATCTCCTGTTCACAGAATGAGAATTCATATGATGTGTTACATGGGTTAAATCTTTAAAGCCTTTAGCTCTCTCTTTTTGCCCATGCCAGAGATGCTGTAGCTCTAAAAGGAATGAAGAGCTTGTTTTACAAGTTCACCATTTGCCTTGTTTTTCACCAGTCCCTCCCATACTAACAACTTGTTTTCTGTGCCATGCTGTTGTCTGGTCATAAGTAGGACGCTCCACCCTCCGTCTAAATTCTGAATCATTGCTCATCTTGTAGATCCACTTTCCGCTTTGCCTAATGGCAGGAATGGATCTCTGGAACAGTGGAGCTCCAGTAGTGTAGCACTGGAAGCTGTGATCATCCTCCCAAGCATGAATTTCCCCGGTGGGCTGGGAATATTAGCGAGAGAGGAGGGTAACTGGGAGAAAGACAGGAAAGCGTGACGGGTTTTGTTGTTTGTCTAAAGATAATTCGCTGTACAGCTGCTAGAAAATAGACTTCAAATTGATTTTGGAAGCACAGCATTGACACTTTCTAAATTTCCAAAGTAGGAAGTTGCTTTTATTTTGAAGTGGATTCAGCTTAGCAGGTATTGCTGCGTCATGTGAATGTACGGTGAAAAGAATTATCCCAGCAAGGATGTCTTACTTGGGAATACCTGCGAAAACAAGGGATTTCACTGCTGATTTTACTGGTATGATAATTCAGTTAGCACCATTATTTCTTGCCCAGAAAGGAAGCTTGCTGGTTTGAACAAAAAGATTCTTTTTTTGACGTGTCAGTCAGGTAATTTCTGAAAGTTGCTTTGGACCTTGGGAGATTTTTGCACTGACGTCGAAGGAATTCTGCGCAGTTGCTATTCCAGCCTGCAGTAGCGATGGGTTGTCCGTACCTTTCCCCTGCCTAAAGGGAGGGCTTGAGCTGCGTGGAGCCGGCAGCTGTGGGCTGAATCCAGCTTGGAAGCTCCAGCTCGAGGTGGAGCGCAGTCTGGCATTTTTCTGCTCTGCCTTCAGCTCCCAGAGTGCCCGACAGCAGGGAGAGATCCCCCAGCTATTGTGCTTTGGACAATTAGCGGTGCCTAATGGGGATGTAGGAGAGGTTAAACTCTTCTAATTGTTATTTAAAATCAATAGGATTTTCCTATGGAATAAGTAGCAATTAGAAGGATTAGAAGGGTAAGTAGTGGTAGTGACCTTTTTTCCTTGTCTCGCCTCATATTATTTTTGCTTGTTGGACGTTTTTTATTATTTAAGCTTTTTTAAGTGGCAAAAGCAGAAGAAAAAAATCATTTTCCCTATATGACGTTCTACGCTCGCAGTGCTTTTCAGTGACATGGGTGGGAGAGAGGGCTTGTGGTGAATTCCTGTCCCTATTAAAGCTGGTTAAATTGAATTTGTCAGTTGTTTTACAGACGTTTCCTTGTGATGAAAAGTTATTCCAGCAGGCATGTTTGTGAATCATTTTTTGACAGAACACATTATTTCTAAAAAATTTTCTCCCCTTACAAGTCCTTTGTGAACATTTGCTTTTGTTTTGTTACCAACTTTTTTAATGAAGTATGAAATCTAAAGAAAAAAAGTATTTAGGTGGCACTAATAAAAGCTATTTTGAGTAGCTAAAAGGTAATTAAGTTTGTTTAGCTAGCTTGTTTATACAGAGTATTCTCGAGTGACCATTCATTGCAGTAATTATTATTTCAGGCATAATTAATTAGTAAATAGCTTCAGCAGAATAGTTTACTTTCAGCTGACCTATTTAGCACTTCAGCTGTGTACTCTATTCATGAATTAATGAGGAGTGCTTTTGTAATTCCTTTTGAAAATCTTGCTTATTAAGGCACGATTTTTTTTTCTAAATTGGTTATCCTTCTGTGTTTTTTTTTCTTCTAGGTGCTTTTAAGCCTTGTGAATATTTATTGGGCAGCTGGATGATTCGACTTACTGTCTGGTTTATTTTTTTGGTTGCTTTGTTCTTCAACCTGCTTGTCATGTTAACAATATTTGCATCCTGTACTCCGTTGCCATCTTCCAAACTGTTTATAGGCCTGATTTCTGTCTCTAACTTATTTATGGGAGTCTATACTGGTATTTTAACTTTCTTGGATGCTGTCTCTTGGGGAAGATTTGCTGAATTTGGCATATGGTGGGAGACTGGCAGTGGTTGCAGAGTCGCTGGGTTTCTTGCAGTCTTTTCGTCAGAAAGTGCCATTTTTTTCCTGATGTTGGCAGCTGTTGAACGGAGCTTCTCTGCGAAGGAGATCATTAAAAAGGGGAAAAGCAATCGCCAAAAACAATTTCAGATTGCAGCAGTTTTTGCTTTCCTGTGCGCTGTGGTAGCGGGGTGCTTACCACTTTTTTATCAAGCGGAGTACTCGGCATCACCCCTCTGCTTGCCCTTCCCCACCGGAGAAACGCCTTCTTTAGGTTTCACAGTAACTTTAGTGCTCCTGAACTCATTAGCATTTTTGCTAATGGCTATTATCTACACCAAACTGTATTGCAACTTGGAAAAAGAGGACCTCTCCGAAAACTCGCAGTCCAGCATGATCAAGCATGTCGCTTGGCTCATCTTCACGAACTGCATCTTTTTCTGCCCTGTTGCGTTTTTCTCGTTTGCACCGTTGATCACTGCGATTTCTATCAGCCCTGAAATCATGAAGTCTGTTACTTTGATATTTTTCCCATTACCTGCTTGCCTGAACCCGGTTCTATACGTGTTCTTCAACCCAAAGTTCAAGGAAGACTGGAGGTTGCTCATGCGCCACGTGACCAGGAAGAACGGCGCGGTAGCGATGGCCGTCAACGCTCAAGGGGGCTGCGCGGCGCAGGATTTCTACTACGACTGCGGCGTGTACACCCATTTGCAGGGTAACATCGCCGTGTGTGAATGTTGCGAATCGCTCCTTCTATCCAAGCCCGTGCCCTGTAAACATTTAATAAAGTCCCACAGCTGCCCGGCGCTGGCAGTGGTGCCTTGCCAAAGGCCGGACGGCTACTGGTCGGACTGCGGCACCCAGTCAGCCCACTCCGACTACGCGGACGAGGACGACTCCTTCGTCTCGGACAGCTCAGACCAGGTGCAGGCCTGCGGCCGCGCGTGTTTCTACCAAAGCCGAGGGTTCCCTTTGGTTCGTTACGCCTACAACATCCCGCGAATTAAAGACTGAAAAGGCTTTTTGCCGTCAGCTGTTGGAATAAAGAGGTACAATGCTTCGTAGGCTGGTGCCTGTTTTGACCTTTTGAGCAGGAAGCACTTTTGTAATCACTGTTTAGCGTCGTTTGTAAAGAAGGGAAGCGGGCAGTAACTTCTTGAGCCATACATTTAAAAACAATTAAACAAATAAATCAATTGCCCTGACTGTAAATAATTGGTAAACCAAATTTGTTACCCAATATTTTTACTCTTTCCACGCAATAGTGGCTTCTTTTATACAGTTTTTTTACATGCTAATGGTGTGTTTCCACGTTGTACTCCAGTTGTACTTTGCTTCTGCTTGTTGGCAAGGTAAGTTCTCTTGATTTTTTTTCTTTTTTTTTTTTTTCTGCCAAAGCACAATATAAAGGACAGCTGTTTAGTATTAAAGAAATTATTTTTAAATGTGACTTTTCTATAATTAAGCAAAAAAACCTCTCTTGTTAGCTTTGTATAGTGTATTCAGCATTGAATCTCAGGATGAATTTTACTGCAGGGCCAAAAGGGGATTAATTCTCCCATACGTAACTGTGACAGCAATATAGGAATACCATGTTTGTTTTGTATTTCAAGCCAACGTTCAATTTTTTAAACAGGCTTTGTTACAATAAAGCACTTGTAATCCACCATATCTGTAGACTATGAAATAAGCATATGAACAGCTGTCAGGAGTAATAGGGTTGAACACATTTTCCCAGCGTTGATGCATTGCTTCAGGTGAACCACAGCAGCTTTCTTCAGTATTAGGCAGTCGGGTCACGCTGTTGGAAGGAATGTCGATGCATCGAGGGGGGGTGTCAGCAGCGCTGCCGATGTGTGCGGCTCGTGTCTTTGCAGTAAGACTGGCTGATACTTTGCAGCCTGTTGAATGCTACAGCACCCCGGTAGTATCTGTGATTTGACTGCGATTTTAGCAAATGGCGGGAAAACAGAAAGCAATTTTGCAATAAAAGAAAAGCATTTTTGCCAGTTATTTTACTGAGAGCGAAGTACACTGTGCAAAGTCACTGATTTTATGTAAATCAGTGTATTATTTTTAAACCATTCAAGTCCTGAAACCCAAATGATTTAAGTACAATCAGTGATCCATTTATCTGTATTTAGTTTGATATCTGATCGATACAAAGTTATGAATGCATGATTAGGTATTTATGTATGTTTCTTGAACAAGACACTAAATCGAGAGCAAATCCACTGCCATCCCACTTACTCTGGAGACATTCTCGGTAAGATTTAAAGCTAGATTGCTGTTTTGAGAATTAAACTGTATATACTGTTCATACAATGAATTTTTATCTTTGCATTGTAAATTATTTGATAGAACACATGATGGGAAATGTGGCTTCAGTTCATTTTGTTAATTAAAGCTACCTCCTAAACAATAGTGGCTGCCAGTAGCAGAATGTTTAAAATGTGGTTTATATACTTTTTGCATTGTAAATAGACATGGTTGTATATTGTCACTGTAATAAAAACAGAATCCTTGTATATCAAAATCATGTAGTTTGTACAAAGTATGGGAGGGTTATTTACTGTATGCTGTTAATTTTGTAAGCCAGATATTCACATGTAAAAACAAAAGAGAAGAAAACCAACCCAGAGTTGTTGATTCTTGTATTTACACTCATGAATATTACATCTGCAATTAGCATGGAATGTTACACTGAAAGCAAATAAAGGGTACATGAATATGGATATTTATCTCTGGTTTTTGAAAGTTAAGGCTGAAAATGGTGCACATGTAAAACTGTTGAGCATAAATAACGTGTCATCTGTTCTCCACTGCTTGTGGAGAGAGTTTGGGGGAGGAACTGCCAGTGAAGTAAGAAAGTGGCCAATTTACGAGTGGATTTATGATCTCAGACTAGTGCTGACTTTTGGCATGCAAAAGGTTCAAACCTTCATAGAAGTGTTTGCCGTCTTATAAAGCAATCTCTTTATTAAAGACGCTATTATGTATTGTATTTGAGTTGAAATGTTTTTAGTATGCCTTGGAAAAATCATACAGATGATAATTTTGGTTTTGATGCTATTTCCATGCCGAGAGTTGTGGGGTTTTTTTAGCCATAGTTGTGTAAGAGTCCCAGTCTGTTCCACACTCCCTCTGTTGGCCAACCAGTCAAAGGTAATGGGAATGCTTCTAACAAGAATACTTCTCAAAAAGGACAATAAATGTCAGATGCCATTTCATAATTGGTAGGGAAGGAAATTTCTTCTGTTGTGCAAATGAGTCTTCACTGAAATGCTATTAAAATGGCCCGATGCGATCCATTTGGAGTGACAGTATTGAATTTATACATCAATGTGTGTTTGAAGTTGCAGTTACGCTAATGGTTAATTTTTAATGCAGTCAGCCCGGTGTCTTCCAACACGTGCAGGTTTTATCTGCTGGTAGAGGTGAAAGAATACAGGCAGTAGCTACTAAAATCAACCTGTCAAGGAGCAGTGCTGCAAAACTTGCCTGTCAGTATCGCCACGTGCCTGACACCGATGGACGATCACGTAAGGAGAACCCAGAAAAATCCAGCCGCCAGGTACTCCGTGCCTCCTCTGTCGTGTCTTTGCTGGATGAGCTGATCTCAGTAGCAGGGCGTAACCTGATGTTCCGATGTTCACAACTGCCTGGGAAAGCCACTGAGAACCCGCTCCCTCTCCTCCCCGCTCCAGAAGTGGTCTCAAACGTATGGGGACAACTTGCCGTAAAGCTGTGCTGTGTCCGTAACGCGTGGGGGTTTTCGGTTACCTCTGTGCAAGTGACTTTCAGAGCTGTCACCCGGCAGCTGCCTCCTCAGCTAGGCAGAGCTTCCCAGCTTCAGTTCTGAGACTCAAACACTTGAAACCTCACAAGTTGCACCCTTCTGGGGTGTCTGCAGGGAATAAATCCTCCAATTTTCTAGAATCTAAAGCTAGCTGAAGCTGTTCTTACAGTGACAATGTCACATACCTGGCTTGTGAACCCCCCTGAACAACTGTTGTAGTGAGCTCCAACACTGGATTTAGCAGACAAAAAGAATTTGCTGTTGACTTCAAATACAACTTACAGTAAGGAAAGCATTTTTTTGTTGTTTTTCTTCCTTCTGCTGTTGTGAGGAAGCAGCTTTTGGCAGGGGGGCAGAGTCACAAATAAAATTGCCAAAGTTTTTGCTGAGGTATTCCCTGCCTTCTCTCCCTGTCAAGAGTAATTTCTTACAGAGAGCTATGAGCCTGCTCTGTGGCAGTACGCTGGTGAGATCTCTTAATTTGAAGTGGAGCCTTTTTATTCTCTTACAAAAATAATGCATCTGCTTCACAACTTTTTGGTCTAGATACCTTTTGTCCTTTTTAATTTGTTTCTGGTAGTATTTTCTGTGTTTAATCAGAAATTTACTCAGAAATTTCAGTACAAAGATACTTCAGTAATTCTTTTGACCTTGCTTACTATTTTTAAGCCTTCAGTTTTAATTTATAGGGTAATATTTTTAATTAAAAACACAATGCATAGTTTTTCATATGTACTCTCAATTTAATAATTATTATTTACATAGATGCTTTTGATCTTTTACTGCTAGGCATAAGTGTATTTTTAGCAAGAGATTTTTTTAATACTACCTTTCACATACCATACAGCAGAGTCTGACCGATTTAGCACTAGAGTTCAGTTGATGATCCAGTAAATAAGGAAATGAAATCTGAAATGGGATAATACATCACAAATTGCTGTTTTCTTTACTGTTGTGTACTGTAAGAGCTTGGAGGGCGAATGGACACTTTTCATATGTTGCGTTCACAGCACTACGCTACTATAAAATATCATCACTTATGTTTTACCTAAGAAATACTAGTTTAATGGTCACTGTGGCATTTACTGAAGGGAAATTATTTAGATTTGAGGGTAACAAAATATGAAGTGTCTCTTTGGATTCAAGTAACAAGTGTAACCTGCAAGTGTCTTGAAAATTTCAGCCCAAATATATGCAAGTAAATCTGTTACTAACTGACGCTTTAAAAGAGAGCAAGACTTCGTGCAGAAGCGTAAACTAGCTAAAGGAGCAAAGGCTGTTCAAAAGCAGGAGGGCTGTGACCTCCAACTAACAGAAAACAACTGAGTTGAGTGGGAGTCCTGCTATTGATTGAAAAAGATGGGATTTTTATATGAATGTGTTTGATAGAGTTATGGCACATTTCCTTACACAAGAGAGAAATTCTCACTCTTGAGGCCATGCTCCTTGAAGGCAGATGGGTCCACATCTGCAATCAACAGAAACTGGACTGGGGCTAGCAGTGGGTACGGTGTATTGCAAAGATGAGACTACATGGTACCGTGAAGGAAAACTGAAGCAAGCCAAGACCTCTCAGATTTCACAGCCTCTAATCAAGCAGAACTACAAATGCAGACACAAAAATAGCCAGTAGGCAAGTGTAGGCAGTGCTCGTTAGCTCTGATGGAGCGTGGAGCCAAGTGGCTTTCTTCCTTACTCCTGCGTCTGCCGCACTGTTCTTCCCCACACTGGAAAATCTGAAGACTTGGCAAGACTTCTTAAATTAGACTGTATTTGGTTCAAATTTTCTTTTTTTTTTTCTGCCAGGTTGCAAGTAAAATTAAGATACACATTCTTTTCTTCAACCTGAAGGCATGGATGTCTAAGCCTTAGTTTGTGCCTAAATTTAGTAAGTTTGTTTTTTTAATAGGATTGGTTTTATGCTTTTTCTCTGTGAATGCAAATGTGGAACTAGACATTACATCTAAAAGCAATCTTATCCAATTCTTTTCATTAAATCTGGGTAGTATTAATGAAGTTGAACTGAGATGTTGCCTTCTGATGGCTCTTATGTTTGCGGAGACTGAGCTGATCAGATTACAGTTGAATTTCTAAAATTCACCTATTTCATAAAGAAGAGTTGGCAAATCATAGAGTTGTTAAATCAGAGTAGTTAGTGATTTGGGGTAGTTGATTTATGCCTAGAATTTAATTCACTTCTATGTTTGTTACCTGTAAAGTTGCTTTCTTGACATCATTTTCTATGTAAAATGGGTTTTCAAATACTGTGAGTGGCAATTAGGGATTACTTGTGAGCAATTTGTCAGGAGCATTTGGATGTTCAGACACACTGATGGGCATGACTGAACAGACAAAGTACAGGTCTGCAAACACACTGCTCTGTGTTTACTCCCTGTTGCTAACAGCTTAAGGTACTTACTCCGTAGTCTGTGATGGTGTTGGTTCAGTTAGCACTGAAGGACTGAATGTAGTTTTTGTCATTCCTTTGGTGAGAAACTAGGCTGATTTTTCACAATGGTAACAACCATACGGGTATGCGTATGTATGTTTATTCACTCAGTTGTGTGCGGCAACTGTTGTGCTTCATTGTGTCAGTTTGATTTTGCTCGTAGGCTTTATAGCAGTGTTGGCGCTTAATGCCTGCCATGGCAGATGCTTTCTAGAGACAGCCTTTCCTATTCTGGCACTAAGTCAACAGAATTACAGTTTTGCCATGAAGCATGTCCTTGTACTGTGTCATTTGTCTGCTTGTCAGTCCTTCTGGGGCCACAGGAGTTGTGTAGCTGAACCTGCAGGACTGTTGTTTCAATCCTTAGTATTTTACCAAATGACATTGTTTGGGCTCTTACCTTGCCAGTATTAACTAGGGCACAGTGGCTGTGGAGCTGGCTTGACGAGTTGGGCAGAACGGGAAGAAGAAGGATAACAACAATATGATTTCATACTTTCACTTCTCCTCAAAGCTAGATGCTTTAATTCCCTGAAAGGTGAACTGGCTTTTGCCACCCTCTGCATAGGCAGTCTCAACGCATAAACTCCGGTTGCTTGTCACAATACTAAGGTTTGTTAATATAAGCTATTTGCCCAATTCCTGTTCTTGAATCCCCAAGAAGTTATTTTATTATGTATAATAATACAGAGAGGGAAGAGAAGGACTCACATCATAGAATCCTAGAATGGTCTGGGTTGGAAGGGACCTTATAGATCACCTCATTCCAACCCCCCTGCCATGGGCAGGGGCACCTTCCACCAGACCAGGTTGCTCAAAGCACAATCCAGCCTGTCCTGGCCTTGAACACTGCCAGCTTCTCTGGGCAGCCTATGCCAGGGCCTCAGTAAAGAATTTCTTCCTAATGTCTAATCTAAATCTGCCCTCTTTCAGTCTAAAGCCATTACCCCTTGCCCTATCACTACACGGCCTCGTAAAAAGTCCCTCTCCAGCTCTCTTGCAGGCACCTGCAGGTACTGGAAGGCTGCTCTAAGGTCTCCCTGCAGCCTTCTCTTCTCCAGGCTGAACAGCCCCAGCTGTCTCAGCCTTTCCTCATAGGAGAGGTGTTCCATCCCTCTGACCATTTTTGTGGCCTCCTCTGGCCCCGCTCCAACAGCTCCAGGTCTGTCCTGTGCTGAGGGCTCCAGAGCTGGATGCAGGACTCCTAGGGGGGTCTCACCAGAGCGGGGCAGAGGGGCAGAATCCCTTCCCTCACCCTGCTGCCCACGCTGCTGGGGATGCAGCCCAGGGTACGGGTGCCCTTCTGGGCTGCCAGCGCACATTGCTGGGTCATGTTTGTGTCTTTGGCACGATTGCAGCTGGCTGCTGCCTTGCCTTGAGACATCCCTTTCATAGTTACTGGCCGTCCCAGATGAGCAGCTGTGTGGCTTCATCAGAAGCGATAGATGCCCAGTGCAGTGAGCTTCAGAGTTCCTTGGTCCAGTGAGACAGGAAGGTTTTTTTTTTCTTTTTTTTCAATTTATTTAAGACTTTTGCAAGTCTTCTCTGTAAGATGGGCTTTAAGGTCGAGGGAGGTTTCCAAGCCTATGAAATTACCTTTGTCTGCAGCCTGTTGAAATACTTGAATTTTTCATGCTTGCCAAGATGTGAAGCTTTGCTCACAGTGCTTGTTTAGCCATATAGTAAACGATTTTCATACTTCTGTTACTTCTTAGCTGCGTGCAGCACAGACACAGACATTCCTGTAAAACTGTAGGTGGTTTGTGTTCAAGAAAGCTGAGGCATTGCATCGTGCACCTTGTATCCCAAGAATTCAGTCTGAGTTGAAAATTTTTGTTGTTGTATCTTTACTTGGCATGAAATTTAGGTTCTTGTGATATTCTGTTGTCTTCAATACTTGAATCATCAGCTTAAATTATTTCAACAGGTGTAATTTTTTGTCTGTTAGATACTGCAGCTAGTAATTCTTGAATATTTATTTAATGATGATCAGCTCAACGATGTACCACAGGTGGCTAGAGTTATTTTAACATCACAAATATCTATTTGCTGCACAGCGATGTAGTCAATATTATAGGAGTGCTTAGATCGGAGATGAATTCTGGCCTTTTTTTGTATTTTTCAGCTTGCTGGAAAATCATTCCAGATGACCGGCTGGTTATCAGCACATACTGTCAGCCATAGAGTAACATTTGTTTTTTCCTTACAGGAACCATAATGATATTTCTCCAAGCTGCCAAAACTGCAGTTCCCATGAGACGGTAAGCCAGTTTAAGAAGCTCCACCACTGAAAGGGGGAAATCCCTCACACCTCACCTCTGCCTCTCCCTTCCTTCTGCTTTGTGGCCGTGCTCTCCTGGCGCTTGCCTGTTTTTTTGCCTCAGCTCTTGTCAGACGTCTTCCAAGCTTTAACTTACTCAGACCGCAAGTTCCTTGGCCAAAGAGTTGGATGGCTTTCTACTGCATTAGTCAGGTAATGTGACTTGGCAAAGGGAGCAAGAAGAAGGCTCCTGACCGGCAGGAGAGATGCAGCTGTTTCAGTAGAGACGTGATGGACTTGGGTGCCCGTGAATCTGCAGCCCAAGCACCAAACAACCCATCTAAAAACTCCAAGTATGACGATTTGGGCATTCTTTAGGACTGTTAATGATGGCGTTGAGATGTCTTCTGCCTGACAGCACTCATTTTTGGTGGTGTCTAGTCACACACAATGGTTGTGTAGGTTTGATGGCCTTTTTATATCATTGAAATTCTATGTCACAAATGACTTTCCTATTTTCAACAAAGCATTTTTAATACTGTTGCTTATTTTTCAACTTGCCTATCCAACTAAAAATGTATTTCTTGTTAAACTCACCCACCTGGAGATTCTTGGTAAGAACAATTATATCAATATAGCAACCAACTTTATGATCGCTTTCAAACTTGCGTATCTCATGTTAGTATCAGTAACACTTCTGCTCAGTCAGCCACAGCAAAATGACTCGAAGTTGTAAAGAGCTACCTGCTGCTAGTCAGCGGTTATCTCCATGGTAGATGAGATTCAAAGGCAATTAAAAGCTCTGGTGATACGTGTGATTGGTGCCGATCCTGCTTAAGGATTTGGCTAAAAGGCGGTCGAGGTGGCCCGACATTGGCAGTGAAGAGGATTTGGAACCGCGATGGAGTATTGACGAAGGATCTAGTGGCAAACAGGAAAGGACAGGAGTGTGTATATATCTAAAAAATACATGTTTTACAACAAATAGTTATAGCTTCAGACCTTTACATCAGAAACAAGATTCTAATTGTGGGGACTGAGATGGGCTGTTGCAGTTCAACGTATGGCTAGGTTACGAACTTTGACTTGGCTGTTAGAAAACGCCTAAGCTACCTTCGCACGTATTGGAATCATCTTCTGCAGCTGACGCTGCTGGTACCGTTTATTGAAGTGGTAAACGTCAAAAAAAATGTTATTAAGTCAGAAACGACAGCTGCAAAGAGTTCATCCAAATGGGCATCCGAGGGCGCGGGCGATCACCGTGGGGACGGCAGGGCCGGGCAGTACGGGGCCTGCTGCCTGCCCCTGGCCCTGGCAGGGCTTTCCAGGCCCCCA